GGTAAAAAACCTGAATATTTGTAATTGTGTCATAGAGTCATTTTTGGTTTTAGATAGATAGAAATTCATACAGATACGTTTTGCGAGCTTTTGTCAGTTAAAATGGAAAGCATTGGCCGTTGAGACCGTGAGCCGTGAGACCTTCTCCACCAACTCCCACTGATGCCTGCTGTCGTTGTGTCCTTGGGCAAGACACTTTGCCTACAAGGATTGCGAAAGTAATAGTGCGCAGCATTCCTTGATGTGTATATGTTTTTTCATCAAACTGAAATTTCCTCAGGACAATCTTTCCTTCTTCTTTCTTTCTTTAAGCTCTGGGTCCGCTCATTCAATAAAACAGGAAATTGGTGGTTATGCAATTCAGATTGTTTTGGGGCAAAGGTCCAATTCACCTATAGACAAGTTATAGTGTTAGCTGCTTTTACTGAGCTACTTGACAAAGAAAGTTAGCTATAACTCACAGAATGTTACATGTACAGTTCAGTTGACAATGTTTACACTTAGATTGCGTCCCGTGGGAATATGCCGGCCATGCTGCTGTTTGTCTGTGTGAACTGTGGACTGTGCTTGTCACTATTATCAAGCCTGAAAAAGTTTTTGAGTTGACTTTCATTAGTTAGTAATCTTATAGTGGTCAAATATTGTATTTTAGGTAATTCTGTGTGCAATGTGCAATAAACATCATTAACAGTGATTATGGCTGCCTGAAATTGGGTTTTCATGAAGAGAATGGTTGGCCATTGTCTCAAGATTTCTTGTAAACAAAAAAAAGGGGGGAAAAAAATATCAACAACAAATATCTCGTCACCCTCCTCCCCCAATATTAAACCGTCCTTTCAGCGTTGCCATTATTGCATGTAATATCACTAAATGCTGCTTCTATTAGAGTAGTTGAGCGGGACAATAGCGACCCAAAGTGCACTTCTCTTTAATTAATGACTGCTTTTGTTTGGGCCGGCACGAGCTCACTTAGCAGCAAAGGCAAGGCACGAGGAAGGCAGGCTCATGCAGCTAATATCACGCGGGCTATCTATCCTCCCTGCACTGGCGCATCCCAATCCTCTTTGGAAATAAAAATGCATAAAAGAACGCGCAACACAAATATATCTGGCTGCCTCCGAAAGATAGGCTGTGCAGCGGTTTAATACCCCTATGTAAACAATCAACGCCTCGCACACACCCCCACATCACCACTGTGGGACAATAACCATTCTCTTCCCCCCGATACGCCACCGACCAAAGTGCTTTTCTTGGGCGAGATAGGAGACAATGCAGCTGGAGTGGTTGCAAGTGGTTGTGGATCTTGTTTTTTTTTTCATTTTGTGTTCAAAAGACGGCCCCCTTCCCGACCTCGGAGACTAAAAAAATATGTCGGATTTCACTCATGCGTGCTCTGATATCTCATTCAGAGACCCATAGCTGTGATTCGGTATTATATCGTTTGCCTCTGCTCTCATCTGTTCAATGTAAAACTGTTCGCCGATTCTATCCCACAGTGAAGGGGGCCGTGCTGGAGTCCATTTTTGTATGCAATGTGTCCCGTGACAAGCATTCAAGCCCCTGCATTTATTAGTCTTAAGGCCAAAGAGAAATGGACTCTTGAAAGGCCTTGAAGAGAACTGTCGGTGCTTACTGCCAAAATGGTTTCAGTCGGGTGCCAAGTGTCTCACAATGAAGGCGGGTTTTTTGGTCGCAGCCAAATATAAACCTCAGCTATATCGGTGAAGCCATCATTAAACCAAGACTGACCAAACCACTTTACCAACTGAATAATCCATGTTTTGACTGGTTTTGGATGGTCAATGGTATGATACCGTTTTAAGAATATGGAAAACTTTCAAATCCTACCGCTTCAGTCCAGAAGAAACTAGATAATTTGTTGTAGTAAATTGAATTACCATAAACAGAAATGGGAAATGACACTGGTGACTTATGTTGGTATATATTATTTGACTGTATCTGTATTTAGTATTCTCTATTTTTGTATTTTTTCGGGATGAAAGGTTTGCCTATCAATAGATATGTATGTCATTGTCCTTATTAGAATATTAATATTAATTCAAGCTTCCCGGGGTGGCTAGATTTTGCACATTTCTTCCCATAACTGCTTATCCACTGGGGAGGCAGCTTCTTGAACCATCGAATGCCAACTGCACAATTTTTGACCAGCAGCATTGAAGGATGGGGCAAATGCAGAGGAACAAAATGCGTTACCCAACCATATTTATCTGAAAGAAGGAAGGTCTAACAGCTCATTGTAAAACACGTTCTTCTATGATGGCTCAAAATCCTGCGCATAAAGATCAAATTTTTTATCCTACGGTGCAGCCCGGGCCGTTGCATTGTGGTACGTGGAGGAGCGGACAGCAGCTGGCACAGTAAAGGTTAACTCCATACATCATCATGTGCAAAGCTCTTAGCATGAGGAGGTAAGACTATACTCAGACTGACATTTCACACCGACCCCACAGGCAAATGTAAGTGCGCTGTCTCTTTAAGGGCCGCGGTGATAGCTCAGCACTTTCACTGTGGTGGGATCAGCTACAGAAATGAGATGGAAAGTACTGTCAGCGTGCTACTTTGAGCGTTTGAAGTGTGCAGTCAGAGCAGTGTCAGTAGAAGTCGCACGACAAGTAGGAGTAGCAGTAGTAGTTGCAGTTTCAGTAGGAAGTGATGCAGTGAGGTCAACAGCTCGTGTTTGGAGCAACAGTCTGTAAATTTGTGGTAGTCGGTTTTTTGGAGGCGCATTTTTCAATATTATTTTCAAAGCCATAAAAACATTCTGTGGGAAAGAGGTTTTTGTTTCAATCAGATAATAATGTTGCTTGACCCATTATTAAAACTCTTGTAAAAGGGACATTTTGAATAACATGCTGACTAAAAACGTTTATCTAGTCACTATTTGAGCTGATGATGAGTAAGTCCTCTTTGAACTTCTGTCCTGAAAAGGCTGATCTAAAGATGGCAAAAATCAAATCAAGTGCATGTGAAAACTAGTGATGAGAGCAAGGAATAATCTTTGATAACCTTGTTCTTTTTTTTTTGTTGTTGTTGATATTTTAATGTTGCAGGAAAATAAATTGAAGGTCACTTTTTATGTTGGTGAATCCAATGTCAATTGTTGCAATAACAATCTAATAATATTGACCACCATTTAAACGAGTTGAAATTATTAAATCTGCAAATAAATTAAAAACATAAACTATGTATATAATAAAAGAAACATTAATGGACATTGGTCATCCTCCTCTTATGAACCAATGGCTTTGTGTGTTTTTTATTATTGCATTTATTGTGTTTGAACGGTTGGATTCTCTGATCTGTGTTGGCGAATCAACCTCCAAGATAAGTACTGTTATGATTTAGGGCTATAAAAAAAAACACTGAATTGAATTGACGCAAAAACAGCATATAAATGACTCAATTTATGGCATGGGATTGTCCAAAAATATTGAACCATCGTCATCGCAACACAAAATATGGACATAGTTTAACATATCTTGAGGCACCCTGTGATATTTTGACTTAATTGTCATTGAGTTATTTTTGGAATCAATCCCCCCAGTCGTTATTCTATTATTCTAAAAACAATTCTTAGTCAAAGCCTCTCCTTACTTCTGCAGGTCACCTCCACATTTCCTCCCACAGTTAAGGCCAAAATCCGCCTCTCCTCTTGCCTTTCCCTTCCCCTCTTCCCCCTGCAAGCTCAGCGCTACCTGATCAACACGACTCGCTGAAACCCAATGCAGCATCCATACGCCCACATTATATACCCCCATAGTTTGACCGCACTTTTAACAGCCACCCCGGTCTGGTGATGAAGCGCTCCCCTGGTCCTCTCACACTGCACCTTGGAATTCCCTTTGACAATATACAAGGGCCTGTAAGGAAAGCATCAAATATTAATACGCATTATCCCTGATGCTGGAGCGGCTACGCTGGGGTTTGGTGCGAGGGTAGTTATGAATTCATTGACTTTTGGTGTGGTGTATATTGCAAAAGGGGTGAGTTATGGCGGTAATGGAGTCATGGAAGTAGTTATGGTACTTTTACTCACATGTGTGGCAGGAGGAGTGAAACGATGAGAGAAATGGCTCTGTTGGTAATAGCGTTTTATTTGAATTATATTTCTCATAAGCATTTCTCATAACATCCCTTAAAAGGTATAGTATATAAGAAGATTTTTGACTTCTGGGTGGATCATCAAGACTATTGGTCCTCCCGATTGTCAATCATTCTGGTGTTACATCCTCGTCAAATAAGACCAGAAAATCGTGTTCAAAAAGAGTAGGGGGCGGTTCTTTCCTAAAATTTGGGAAGATCCTCCTATATACCTGTAAGTTAAACATGTAAACCAAAGCCTGCCATGCCATCTTTCCTCATACTAAGAGTTGAATTAGAATAAATTAATTGACTGAGAACAATCCAACAGAAAACTGGTTATCGAAATGTGAGAATTTAATCTTGAATAATTACTGTGGAATTATGAAGATCGTATTTATAAAAAAATATGAAATACACACGCTTTCTCTTGCTGTTATTAAACGAGCTTGTAGCTTCCCACAAACTTTTGCAGAGAAAGGAAGTCACTACCTTTGATGGATTGTTCCTGAACGAATGAGGGATTACACTGCTTTATCCCCACAAACTTGACTCATAATTGTCCTGGAGTAATACTGCTGCTTTTTGTATGAGAATTGTTTCTTTTTAATGATAAATGCACAAAAGTTGTATAATTCATGTACTGATGCCAACATAATAGCCAAGACAAGCCTACAATGCTCATAAAACACTATCAATACAGTTAACAGTTTATTCTCCTGGCGGCGCAGGCTTTAAAACCTGCACAGTTTTGAGCCACACACTTCCCTAAAAACAAGTCCTAATCTGCAGCACTGACAGAGCTGTGATTAAAGAGAGGATGGGACCAAAACAAAGATCATAAATTGTGGATGTGCCACTCGTCGCATCGGCTGAGTGTGAAAGCTCTTTTACTGAGCTCACAAACAGAGCTCAGCCTGTTGTTTGGCCTGATTGATGTTCGGGCCCCGGGCTCCGAGAGAGCGGGCCTCGACTGCTGGTCTGCTGCAGTGGAAGAAGAAGTGTGAGGAGGAAGAGCAGTCTGTGTGTGAGTGAGAGGAGGACATGGGAGGCCACACTGGCAGAGGAGTAAAACATGGCAAAAATACTTATATAATACAATATTCTAATGATTTTTAGAATGGACGTATTGTATGTGATTGGACTTCAACCAAATCATCAAACTAACATATGGGAGACATATCAATATTCTTTTACAAATGTTTTGCAGTCGTTTATGTGTAGTTTTGGAGGTTTGAATTGCCCTTGTGCACAGACTGCGTTTTGTCTTAAGAGAGACATTGATCTGGTGGCAACTAGAAAGCTTTGACATTAAAATATATCATTAATACTGGCTCAGATTTTTTCACAAACTATTTTCCTTATTACATACTGAAATGATTATTTCAGTATGTAATCCACTGACCCCTTAATGGACTTGGGCCCCTTTAAAGACAACGTTCTCCCCTCTGCCACCAACCTTGGCGTCACCATGGACAGTGATTTTAATTTTACTAAACAGATTAATACAGTCGTCAAGTCAGGCTTTTACCATCTTCGCCTTTTATCTAAAGTCAAACCGTTTTTATCTTTTAAACATTTTGAACAAGTCGTGCATGCTTTTATTTCGTCACGCCTGGACTACTGTAATGCTCTTTATACAGGCATTACCCAAAATGCACTCTCACGCTTACAGTTAGTCCAGAACTCCGCTGCACGACTTATTACTGGAGCTAAAAAGCGTGACCATATTTCACCAATCCTCGCATCCTTGCACTGGCTTCCAGTCAAATTTAGAATTGATTTTAAGGTTTTGTTGTTTGTTTTTAAAGCGTTAAACGGACTGGCCCCTCAATACGTCACAGACCTCATTGAAGTCTACGCCCCAACGCGCGCTCTGAGGTCTGAGGGCCAGCTCCAGCTCGTGGTTCCTAAGACGAAACGTAAAACTCGAGGGGACAGAGCGTTCTCCGTCATCGGCCCTAAGCTGTGGAACGCTCTGCCCCTCCACGTCCGAACAGCCACAACATTGGAGTGTTTTAAATCTCGTCTTAAAACCCACTTTTATTCTCTGGCTTTTAACAGTTGTGTGGTCCCTGTGTCTTTTTAATTTTTGTTTTGTGTTTTATGATTTTTATTGATTTTATAAATTGACTATTTATTTATTTATTTTTTATTCTATTTTTTGTGTACTTTTTTGTGCAGCACTTTGGAACTGTTCTGTTGTTTAAATGTGCTATAGAAATAAAGTGGATTGGATTGGATTATGTTAAAGTTTATATGATTTAATAATATCAGCTAAAATGGAACAGTCTTCTTGAGGTAGTGAGACAGGCCTCTACCCTGAACATGTTCAAAACTAAGTTAAGAAATAGTCTGTTTAGCTGTGTACACAACTGATTCTATTTTGTACTTTTCATTTGTTTTAATCCCCCATTTTAACAAGAGTTTAAAGCCCAATACTTTTATGCTCCACTGTTTAATATGCTATCGCTGTACATTCATGTATTTGTGTTGTCTTTTTGATCAATTTGCCTTATACACAAATTGTGCAGTACAAATAAATCTTGATTATTGAATATTGTCATTCCCAAATCCCTTTTGTCATACGACCACATTTCCGAACATTGCGCACGTCCTCTATCCACCAACGCCTTTGAATCTGGGATCTCCTCGTCCATAGATTGTATCGCCCTGGTATTATTGCACAAGTATTGTTTCATGATCGCCGCTGTCCACTCTCCACTCGGGGCCTCTGCAGACTCCAACACTGCATGTTCTTTTAGTGTGCGTGTGTGTTTCTCACAGCGGACAGAAGCGCCTTGGGCTCCTGTCTGTCAGTGCGTCTATGTGTGTGTGTGTGTGTGTGTGTGTGTGTGTGTGTGTGTGTGTGTGTGTGTGTGTGTGTGTGAGCTCGCGATGCATTCAGGGTCCTCCACAGTGCAGGACGTGTCAGTGTGACGGACAGACTGACAGCAGAACACAGAGGTCGCATCAGTCCAAATCCGTCCCCTGTACTACCCCCTCCTCCACCCCCCCCCCGTGCCCCCCCCTCTTTCATATACCACTACCTTACAGTCCGACATGTCCTCTGTACTCTGACATGTAGGCAGTTTTTTTTTTAGTAGACACTTGACTTAAGCTTGTCTAGTTACTTTTACCACCGGGGTGAAGTAAAAAATGTTGTTTTTGGTGTTGGCCCAAGCACAAAAATCCATATCCTTGGCATGTAGCAGTAGTGGGGTAGTTCCAGAGTCTATCGCTTTGAGTAAGAAAGACAATATTGCGGCAGTCCAAGTCTGTGGCCGAACATTAATTTAAGCACAGTCTCAAATGAAAGAAAATATATTATACAAACCCGGAAACTGCCATTTTTAATCATAAAAAGCCTCATCTTGTTTTGTTTGTTTTGTTTAATAGTTTCAACCACATCAGCAATTTTCGGCCCATTTTTGTCGCCATTTCTATGAGGAATGCTCTGTGTTGAATCTGTCCAAACTGTGATGTCATTGGTGATTTGTCATCTTTATCAGCCCATTAGTTCTCTCCAGGTGATTTATTTTTATTTTTACACCAAGTTATCCAAACATTTACAGTGGTTTATAACTTATTTCAAACACAACAATGACAAAGTGTACACCATGTGCAACAGAAAAACAGTGGTCAGTGAAAAACAGAAGACTGACAGTAAAACAAAGAAAATTCGCCACTACTTGAAAAGAAGTGGGATGAAGTTCAACTCCCTCTTGCAATGTTTTAAGATTATTATTATTAGTTTACTTCTTTTGACTTTATCCACTTGATTGGAATACACAAGCACATATATTTTCCTACATATTAACAGTATATTAGCAACATAAACAAACAAACAAACACATTTTCCTTCAGTTTTATAACGTTCAAAATTAATTTATTTCAATCTTTTCTTGAATAGTTTTATACATGGACATTGCTTGAGTAACTTGTTGTTGAGTAATCTGTTGTTTTAAAACATGAAATGCCAAAGTACAAGTTGATATTGTTGCCTTTTTAATATTAAACAAGATCTAACAACAGTTGAAGATTTGGAAAAGCAGTGAAATTGTCTCTGGTTGAAGCGGAGCATGAGAAAACACTGCTGATATTTATTAGTCTAACCTTTTACCACAACTGGACCGTTTTGTCTCTCGGCCTGTTCCTTTGTGCTCATTTTGGGAGGAATAGAGTGAAATAAACACGTGGTGAGTGTGTGTGTGCGGTTGTGTAATCTCCGCACCTCCTCGGAGCTTGTCTGCTGATCGTCTGCCCACTCTGCAGATTAGAGGCAGATTAAGATGGGGAACTGCAGAGGTGTCGGAGATAAGAGAGCCGTCGTGCTGCGAAAAGAGCATTTTCAGGTCACTTTATTCATGCGTCTCAGCGCAGTGTGAGAAACAGGTGCGTTCACTTGTGGCCCAAAAACAAAAATGTCTACGTTCCCACACAACCCGTCGATTAGGGTCAGATTGAGAATAGTAAGAACATTCATGTGATGTTTACGATTCAATTATTTAAACATGGTCTTTCAAGAAACAATTTTTGGGACCAGCTTTATCAAATCAAAATCTGAACGACAACAGACTACGGTTTTCAGTATTCAGGTAGCATTAAAACTCATGACTAATTTGAGTATTTTTATTATACATAATGACATAAACAGATCATTTGTTGATCAATGTGAATCTGTTTTATTAGAAGAAGATGAAACATGTATGAAGAAGAACATGTGTAAAATGGCTTCATAAAATGTATTATTATGTTGTAACATTATCAAAAAAATAGCATTTGAAAAATATTGGTTGTGGATTGATCTGAAGTGTTTTTATATTATTGTGACACCATTTTCCTTAAAAGCATTTACTGTGTATTTGTTTGTGTTTAGAATATTTTATTTGAATCTCAAAAGCAAATACAAATATCCAGTTGTCTACTTGGGCGGCACGGTGGCTGAGTGGATAGCACTCTCGCCTCTCAGCAAGAAGGTCCTGGGTTCGAATCCTGGTTGGACCAGGGCCTTTCTGAGTGGAGTTTGCATGTTCTCCCTGTGTCTGCGTAGGTTTCCTCCGGGTGCTCCGGTTTCCCCTACCACTAAAAATATGTACAATAGGTCTGACATGTGCCTCCTGTACTGGCACCCCCACCCAACAATTGTAAACCGCTTTGAGACTCCGATGTGCAGTGAAAAGGCGGTATATAAATAAAAGCTTACTTACTACTTACTTACTACTTTAAATGGCTCCTTCAAAACATGTTCATACAATTTCCTTTCATCCTTTTGCTGAAATTGTCTTTCACAAGATCTGTTTTGCTTCACACTGCTGGGAACGTTTACTTTGAGCTCAGGAGGAGGAGAAAACGAGAAGTCGGTGTTTAATGCACCAGACACTAGAGTAATACTATCATGTTTACAGTGTGTTAGTGTGTGTGTGTGTGTGTGTGTGCGTGTGCGTGTGTACTCGTGTGCATACATTTGTGTGTGTGTGTGTGTGTGTACACACGTGTGCATACATTTGTGTGTGTGTGTGTGTGTGTGGATTTCACGCTAAATGTGATTTGATGAGGGATGTAATTCAGCAAGATTTGTGAAAAAAAATGTGGCAGAATGACTTGGGGAAATACAGTGAATATTTCCTTTGACCCATTTCAAACCAAAAAGCTTCTGGTATTTTTGTATTTTTTCTACACAGCATTTTTTTGTATGTAAGGGACATTTTAAAAAGTAATTCCGAAGAATGCTCTTGCCTGCTATATTAACACTTTGTACATGGAAAAATACATACATTTTGAACAATAGCAAAAGAATTGTTTAGAAAAACTTACATCTTCTAGTTATTTTAACAGCTGTATGCAGAAAATGTTTAGTTTCCTCCCAAACTTCTGTTGAATGTTACACTGCATTATATAAAAAAAAAATAGGAAAAACTCAGTAGACAAAAGAAATGAGTCTGTTTTGCACAAAATGCCTTTTTACAGTTTTCGCAGCGTCACCTCAAAAGCCCCTTTCGCACCGTGTCATGTTTGGCACAGGTTTCTGCTACAGTAAAACTGCTTCACATTAGCCTCTTTCTCTTTTCCATATAACCCCCCCATCCCCCCAACACCCCCTCCCTCCTTCCCGTGGTGCATGGGCTCCTGTCTGGCAGCCCGCCTGACTTCAGCCGGCGGCATGATAGACGCGCTCTGGGACTAGAAAGCCAAAACAGAGCGCGCAAGCCTCACCGCTAAACCCGAGTGCATTTGATAAACAGCCGATCACTGTGGGGGGGCAAATTTCAACTTTAAGCCTATTATTCTGATAAACACGCGCGGCATATCAGCGCGGGGGGAAACTATAGCAGCGCTAACAACACCCAACTTTCTTTCCCGCGTGATGAAAACAGATAGGAGCGTTGTGTTGCGCGCAGTTTGGCCCAGAGCTTTTAAAAGTCGAATGCAATCTTTTGACAGTAGCATATCTGGAAACGCACAGGCCTCCGAGGGGGGAGAGACTTTTGTTTGTTGGATTGAACATGCATGCTCAGAGTGAAGCGGGGAGCCGTATTAAAAATACAAAATGGCTCCAGGAGGGTTTGGTAGACGGCGGTAGGTGGATGGAGGTGTGTCAGAGGCGTAGGGCTGGTGTGTCCGGGGGTAAACAGAGTGGTTTGAACTGAATATTTCAAAATTCCCAGCGTGAAATGTGAGCTTTGGTTTTTCTAATGTTGGGCAGGAGTCAGTGTGGTGTGTTCTCGAGGTAAAGATGTTTAACCCGAAGCACTGGTTGATCTGTGCGGTGTGCTCCGTGCAGTCATGGAGTAATGGACCTGTAAACTTGTCATTGGAGGCAAGTCTAGACAAATATTTTACATACTTTGAATATCAGCACAAATACATACATAATATGCGGCACAAGACTCCAATTACAGAAATGTGTCTGAAAACTCCTTTCTATTATTGCAACTACTTATCTGCTCTTAAATGCTGGTGAACCTAATTTTCATCCACAAAAAATAAAACTGCAATACAATTTCCCTAATTACTGATTTTCTCCCAAAACAGTTCAATTCAATCCCCAGTTTTTGTATGGGTGTATTATTTTGTTAGCCTCTGTGTTCTGTGTTATCTTTAGATCAGCTTTTTCCCAGACAGAGCATTGAACACAAGAGGACCACCCTCACTCATCCAATCAGCTCTCAGCCCAGAGAGCATCACACACAGAGCACCACACAGAGCATCACACAGAGCACCACACAGAGCACCACACAGAGCACCACACAGAGCATCACAGAGCACCACACAGAGCACCACACAGAGCATCACACAGAGCACCACACAGAGCACCACACAGAGCACCACACAGAGCACCACACAGAGCATCACAGAGCACCACACAGAGCACCACACAGAGCATCACACAGAGCATCACACAGAGCACCACACAGAGCACCACACAGAGCACCACACAGAGCACCACACAGAGCACCACACAGAGCACCACACAGAGCACCACATAGAGCACCACACAGAGCACCACACAGAGCATCACAGAGCACCACACAGAGCATCACACAGAGCATCACACAGAGCATCACAGAGCACCACACAGAGCACCACACAGAGCATCACACAGAGCACCACACAGAGCACCACACAGAGCATCACACAGAGCATCACACAGAGCATCACACAGAGCACCACACAGAGCACCACACAGAGCACCACACAGAGCATCACACAGAGCACCACACAGAGCACCACACACGGCTCTTTCTCATATGCAAAGGATATCATGGTTTTCTAATCAGATGAAGACAGCATGTTGTGGTATGATTTATTCACGTGTTTTCATGTGTTTTCATGAAAGTTAGGTACCCGAGCTTTACGTCGGCTGTTAAAAGGTTCTGAATATCGACCAATTTTTAAATATTGGACAGATATGGCTAATATTTTTTGATGTTAGTGCTATAGACTGTGTTTAGAAATTATAATCCTCTTGCTAAATGCAGCCCAATAGGGAAGTGCTCATTGATGAAGTTTTGCTCCAACTCGCTCTGGCTCATATTGACTTGCATTAAAGCAAATTCCTCTAACCCTTGTGCCAGAATCACCAGTCCATGGGTTTTTGCGTTATGTAATCCTGGTGTTTGTATTTTGATACTGTCTTAATAAGCATTGACTAATCAGATGGCTTCATATGCAGGAGAAATTCCTGCTTGCCTTAGCAACCTTCGTAGGAACATGTTTGCTAGCCAAAGCTAATGCTGTTAGACCAAATTCCCATATAATGAAATTGGCTCCAGCTTGCTTATGTTCAAATCAGATTCCTCCTTACAGTATTTGGCAAACACTACGTTAACACTGATTACTCCACTCAGTGCTGATATAGTGCCCTTTCTTAATAAACGATTCTGGTGGATTCTGTTCTTTTAGTTTCCACACTCCAAAACTAGGATACTGATTAGCTACAATTATTTCAAGGAACAGCAGCAGGTAGCACCACTGGTCGTGAAAAAAGTCTGTTGTAAACTCTCCACTTACTATCGCATTGTTGAGCACCATCTTAAAAAAGCAAAAGTGCCTTAATTGAGAAAAATGTAGTAGTAGTAGTTGTGAGACATCCATGAATTCATGCATTCGTTATTTGTCTCTGTTTTATCTTCATCGAATAAAATATACCTCTAAAGTGATCCCTGGCTCTCCGCAGGAACAAGTGACACTTCTGTGGCCGTTTGTGCACAAATCCAATCAGTGTCCGGAGTGTTGCAGTCATTTCAGAGCTCACCTCTAAATGTTCCTCTGTGTGTTTCTCACTGAAAGTCTTTGTGTTGGAGCCCATTCAGGATATACATGTAGTTATCTGTTCTCTCCTGAAGCACTTGAATGGCCTTGTAGACCTTACCAATACATTTTGATTTGATGTATACGTTTTTGAATGTAGATTAATACTGTTTGCATTTACTTTATAATGTTTGTTTGTTTGTTTATTCGGTCATACACATTATTTTTTGACATAAAAAGAACGAGGTTATAAAAACAATGTATCTTATGTCAGTAGTGTACATGCTTTAACATAGATTTCCAAACGCAGTTGTGACCGAAGGGATTAGGCTGAAGTATAACTTATTTTTGCCTAATCCAATTCATTAAGTAAAGTCTCCAAAGTATGAGGCAAAACCCTTTAGAAATAGAAGCCAAACTAAATTTCAAGATCAGGAGAAAAAATGTGGTGACTGCTTACGTTACATCTAAAACCTATGAAAGTTCCAATGTTTCATGTTTATTATTGCTTAGATATTTTTGTTATTATTTTGTCGAAATTAACCTCAACATTTTGGGTGACATGTACAGTTCCTTTTTTTTTGTGCGGGAATATTTTTAGAGAGAATGTGTCAAAGTTTTTACTGTGATCTTCATATTTGTTTTTAATCGTATTTTTTTCACGTATATTTAGATTTTAATGTTTATGATTTATGGCTGATGTGATATGGATTGTGAGGCGCTTTGTGTTTTCTTGTGTAGAAAAGGCACTCTACAAATAAAAATGTATTGATTTATTAATATATTTTGAGCTATTTTGACTGCTCAACTTCTTTTATCCAAATACTTTTCATTCTAGACATGGCTTGTTAAATCCTCAGCCTATGACTTCATACTCGCCCGCTTTCTTTTCTTTCTCTTTAAAAACAAAAGTCTTGCTTCCAATTTCGTTAACTAAACTTCTCCTCTCACATCACGTTCTATTAGACTTAAGTAATTGTAACTTGTTCCGTAATTTGCCACTTGAACCACAATATGGAGGCGTTTGCTCATCCTGGCCTTTTCTTATGTAATATTTTGTGTATATGTATTACGTTTTTGATTTTTGGGCATGGTCTGAAAGCTAAAAAAACGACAGTGTTGCAGAGTGTGTCTTCTGTAAAGCCTTCCATCGCCTCAGATTCCAGCTCTAATACAGAAGCACATCCTGAACCCGGCCTAGCGCTCTGATCACTGCTAATAAGTGCTAACCGCAGACAGCGCGGCCATATGTCAGCGCGCACATTAGCCGCCAGCAGCGTCACCCGGGCAGTGCGTTTACATACATTAGCTCTGTTTCCATTCTCCCATTACAATAAACGCACTCTCGCATTGTACTGATGGCACCAACAATAACTGAACATAAATTAATACGGCTTTCAACTGTAAATGCCATTAAGCCGTTTACAGAATAGAGCGGTTTGTTTGTGGCGAGGAGACGGTGGCTGCTACGGCTCATTTGGAGTGAATCATTTCTATTCTTCTAACTGTGCACATTTCAGCGTGGAATATTGAAACATAGTAATGGCCTTTTATTACATGAAAAGCTTGAATGCCTTTATTATTTTGTCCAATTAAAGAGGATGTAATCAATGCCAGTGCGTAATACTCTGAAAAGCAGAACGTCTCCTGTTGGCATGCTAGTTGTTGAGCTTTACCATGACTGCAAAACTATGCCCTAGTGTAAAACGTAAACATGTCTTTATAGTAATTAATTTGATGCTCTGAATGTGAGAAAGATGGGGCTACCTTTCAGGGGTGTCCAGAAAGGGCCGCTGTGGCTGCAGGTTTTCTATCAGACCCAACAGAAGCAGAGTAGACTCCTCCCATTTCCTCAAGTGGGTTCAGTCTTAACCTGAAGATTTGAGGAAATGGGAGGAGTCTGCTCTGGTCCTGCTGGGTCTGATAGAAAACCTGCAGCCACAGCGGCCCTTTCTGGACCGGTTTGGACACCCCTGATTCACACCATTAAAAAAACAAACTACATTTTGAAATAACTAAATCCATCTTTCTACAGCCAGTCCATCATTGAGAGCAGATCTCTCTCACAATGTGGGCCTCCTTGAGGTTTCTCACTTTTTTCCCCACTGGTTGTTCCTGGCCGATGCAGGAGGGTTCAAGGACGGTGATGATCCAGGACATTGATGGACATTTATGGACGTTTATTAACATTTATGGACATTTATGGACGTTTATTAACATTTATGGAACGTGTTCATGTCGCTCCTTATGGACTCCTATGTCTGTATTGCATTTCCTGTGTTCTCTAATCTGTTGTTGGTGAATCAACGTTTAATTCTCCATGATGACTGCTGTTGGATATGCAAAAAAATTTGTAAGGGCTTTACAAAAATCAATTGAATAGAATTGAATTTAAGTCAAAATCAAATCCTACACTTTGCTTAAATGTGCTGTAACCATAGACAATACTGGAACTGCTCGTAATCATGAATACTTTTGTTTAAATGTCTGTATAGTAGTGTTGAGGGAAAAAAAAATATAGCAATAGACATTCTCACCAGGATAGTGGCCACTTACTCTCCATTCGTCACGGCTGGAGACAGGAGGGAGGGTACGAAAACTGTATTGATCCGAAGCAGGGGGTCGATATGAGGACCACAGCTTAAGTCCAGCTGCTCAAATGTATTATTTTATTATACATATAGTTATTATCTGCCGCACAAAAGGCATGGTGCGTAAGCCTTCTTTTAGTACAAGTCCGTTACAAGGCTCAGAACCATTTTTGAAAACACGTAAATCAATATTTGGACATTCTTGAATCTCCACACACACAGATTAGTGGTCTTATGGTGAAATTGAAAAAAGGATTGTCATAGCAATGGCTGCTTGAACATAGTAACACCTCAGACATGAATGAATGAAGTCTTAAAATAACTTGCTCCAAACGGAAAAACACACCTAATGTTGATTTGGTTCACACATGTCTTTTAAATTAAGATTAAGATATCCCTTTCGTCTCATCGTGAAGAAATGTCAGGGTTGCATCGCAGTAGGACTGAGGAGAAATGAGGAGCACACAACACAATCGTGAAAATTAAGCATAACATAACTCTATACTTGAAAATATTAATATTATACTAAATACGACCTTTCTTCAGCTTCATAAGGAAACAAAGCTGATTCTGTCTTAGTTAGAGCTCATCATTTCACCTGTTTGTGGTTTATCCTGGAGGAGCCTGTTCCACTGTGAGATTTTATTTTCTGCCGTGTTTTTTCTTCATAATTAATGACAAAAAACACACATGGGTCAATATTCACCACATCTTAGCCTGTTTTGGACCATACTGTATAACATACTGTATACTATAGTGTAACAAAATATATCCTTGTTTGTATTCATCTGTAGTTAAATCAGAAATACACTCTGGTGAAAAAATATTAAAGTCATTGAATGTCATTAGCTTACATGTTAGCTGCATGTGATACTACTGTACATGTTACTGTACATGTTAGCTACATGTGATACTACTGTACATGTTACTGTACATGTTAGCTACATGTGATACTACTGTACATGTTACTGTACATGTTAGCTGCATGTGATACTACTGTACATGTTACTGTACATGTTAGCAGCATGTGATACTACTGTACATGTTAGCAGCATGTGATACTACTGTACATGTTAGCAGCATGTGATACTACTGTACATGTTACTGTACATGTTAGCTGCATGTGATACTACAGTACATGTTAGCAGCATGTGATACTACTGTACATGTTAGC